ACGTCTAAAAACACCTTTGCTAGAGCCCCATTTTGTGGTCCTGGCAGGTAAATCTCAGATTTATGGTCAATGCCTCAGGGTATAATTAGCAGAATCCATTTTCCACTTTATTTCGTATATTTGGGTTAACATTTATAAGAACAAACATGCACCTACATGTCATAGGACATCAAATCTGCTTGAGTCTGCTTAAATGAATTTAAAAAAAAAAGTATTTATGTAATTCATTCTTAGAGAAATAAATTATATTCGTATATCTATCAAACAAGTTATATTTGGGTGGTTATTTCCAAAAGGCAAAAAATATAATCAACCATTCTTCAAGAGAATGCTGAAAAATTAGGACAGTAATTATGGCATATTTTGCTAGAACCATAACTATTTACGATACTGATAGAACATTCTTTTAAACAGATTGCTATACGCAAATTGCTGGATTTTAACAGGAATTGTGGAAAATAGAGTTGAGCGGACACCTGGATGTTCGTGTCCGGCGGGTTCAGCCGAACTTTAAAAGAAGTCCGGGTTCGGGATCGAACTTGACCCCGAATTTGACGACGAATCCGAACCCAATTGAAGGCAATGGGGATCCGAACTTTTGGGCACAAAAATGCCTCTAAAAAAGTCCTGGAAAGGGCTAAATGGGTGCAAAAGAAAGTAAAATGGGGTAAGAGTAGGACAAGTGCCCTGCAAACAAATGTGGATAGGGAAATCACTTAACATAACATAAAATTCAAAATACAGCTGAGCCATAAAATAGCACTAGATGGAATCTTTGATTTTAGCTTTGGAAGAACATAAATCATGGCTGTCAGGAGGATCACTAGAATTATCCATTTGAGAGTGGGTTGGAGTGCAGGGTATTCTCTTTCATTGTTCAAACTGAGCTCAACTCCTGATGCATGGAGAAAAGGCCTTCACAAGCCTCGGCTATTGTGTACATAGTTTATACTAAGTGACCCATAGGTTGAGGAGGCGGTGACCGTGGTGGTGTAGGTGGAAGCGGCGGAGGAGGAGGAGGAGGTAGCCAACACTGTTTTATATATTGTATCCTGGCAACAGTTTTCCCTTTAAACTGACCTCTCAGTTTGACTTGTGAGGGTATTGCCCCCGAATTACAATATTGTTATGTTGGTATTTGATGGTTCTATTTGACTGTCAGATATGAAGTGCACACCCCAAATTTACTTTTTATCACCCAAAACAATTTGAATTTTTCAAAGTGCGCTGAAAGCACAGTATTTGACGGTTCTATTTGACTCTGAGATATGAAGTGCACCGAAGGCCGCAAATGTACTATTTAGCAGCCCAAAAATGTGAATGTTTAAAACTGCTATGTCACAGCAATATTTGACGGTTCTATTTGACTCTCAGATATGAAGAGCACGCCCCAAACGTACTTCTTAGGAGCCAAAAAATGGGAATTTGTCAAAGTGCGCTGTAAACACAGTATTTGACGCTTCTATTTGACTCTCAGATATGAAGAGCACACCCCAAATTTACTATTTAGCAGCTTAGCACCAAAACAATTAGAATTTTTACAAGTGCGCTGTAACCGCAGTATTTGACGCTTCTATTTGACTCTCAGATATGAAGAGCACGCCCCAAATGTACTTCTTAGGAGCAAAAAAAATGGGAATTTGTCAAAGTTTGCTGCAAACACTCTCAGATATGAAGTGCACCCCACTAATGTACTAGTTTGCAGAATTCTTTCCTAATCTGTCCCTAACAGCTGCAGCATCCTCTCCCTACACTAATAAGAGCTCATGTGCGTGTGGCGCTACGCGACTCCAGCTTATATATACAGCCTGTGTCACATGCTGCACTGGCCAATCACAGCCATGCCATTAGTAGGCTTGGCTGTGATGGCTTATAAGGGCAAACAAGTAAAACACTTGATGATTGGCTACCCTGCAGTCTTTCAAAACACGCTATTAAATTGCCGAACACAGAACTCCAACCCGAACATACAGTGATATGTCCGTGTGCGGGTCCGGGGTCCAAAAAACTTAATGTTCGGTACGAAGTGGAAAATTAACATGGGAATTGAAAAATTTTGTCCAAAATAGTTGAACTAGAAATACAGCTAGCTTCATTAATGTTTCCAATACTTTTTTTTTTTTTTTACCTATAATTTGTACTATAATTTGTAGTTATTTTGTCAATAATTCAAAAGCTCAATATAGTGGAAAAAAACATTTATTACAAGCCAAAATAACAAAAGTGGGAAAATGTTTTAACTTTTTTTCTACCATTTGCCATTCTCTTGTCATTATATTTTCCCAATGGAATAATTCAATTTTATGTGTTATATGTAATTTTAACACACTAGAAATCACAGTTTGTTTCCTTGCTGTAAACATTCGTTGACAAATGTGTAATTATCATGTGAAAATTTCCAAATCGAATCTACTGTGAATATAATTTGACATATATACAATTATCAAGATACTTCAAATGTGTTGCAGCTCAAAGATACATAACATGCATCCATAACATGGGCATTTTGTACTGATTATGGGGCATTATGGATGTAGCATTTTTACTTATGGGTCTAAAGATAGACTGTTTGAGAAAACATACGAGATATTACACTAAAAGGATGGTTAGACAAACATGTCCGCGGGCATTATATGATCTGTACTCAGAAACGTGACACAGTTTTTTTACATCATCTCATAACAAAGTGCAAATTTATTTTTCAGTTGTATCGAAAAATTCTTAAATTATTATTAGAAAGTTCCTCTAAAATGTTATACAGTATTGTAAACATCTATTACCAAGAACTTTAAGTTCCTATTTCAACTGTAGTGATCAATGATAAATAAGCATTGTTCTCTAACAAATGGTTTAATGGGAAGCTAATTTTAGCACTTCTTCTTCCACCCAATCTATTATGATGTTTGACCATTGACTTATGTTCCGAGGGCAAATAGAAGTCTTTAATGACCTTGAAAATGATGAATATGAGGAAGTACTTTGATAACTTCCTTCCTGTTTCCAATCAATTATTCAAAAGATGGTCTCTCTATTCTGAATAGTCCATCTGTTTACTTTGAGAAAACTGTCTGGCTCTTCTTTGTTGATCTTGATGCATTTAAGTCTCTCCCCCACAAGCTCATTCTGATAGATGAGTCTACCTTATGAGTTAACTGGTATGAACAAATCAAATTCTTTTTAATCTACACCTGACCGAATCGATCCATCCAGGATTTACCTGTGGATTCTCATCTAATGAATAAGACTTCACAAGTAAATCCCAGATGTATCAATTAGGTTGGGCGCAGATCAACAGGAATATGATCTGTTTGTACCATTGTACAAGTATACCCTCTACAATAATGAAATTATAATTATTATAAAATTATATAAAATTAGAATTATTTATCTCAAGGTTTGTAGAGTTCCAGATTTGACAAAGGGGTATTCTGGTATGGTACCTTCAGGGGCCTACCTAGAGCATTTGGCACCCGGGGCGGATCCTGGGCTTGCAGTCACACACACACACATACGCAGTTACAGGCACACACACACAGTTACAGGCATGCAGTCACACACATGCACAGCTACAGGCAGACAATCACACACACAGTTACAGGCATGCAGTCACACACACAGTTACAGGCAGACACACACACACACACAGTTACAGGCATGCGGTCACATACATGCACATACACACACATACACAGTTAGAGGCAGACAGTCACACACACACTCAGTTACAGGCATGCAGTCACACACACACACAGTTACAGGCATGCAGTCACACACACACAGTTACAGGCATGCAGTCACGCACACACACACATACACAGTTACAGGCAGACACACACACACACACAGTTACATGCATGCAGTCACACACACACACACACAGTTACAGGCAGACAGTTAAACACACACATATACAGTTACAGGCAGACAGTTTTACACACACAGTTACAGGCATGCAGTCACACACATACACAGTTACAGGCAGACAGACACACACACACACACACACAGTTACAGGCAGACAGTTTTACACACACAGTCACAAACACACACACACACACACTATTGCTTACAGACAGGAGCTGGAGGAGGAGTGGATTCCCTTAATTCCTTCCCTGGAGCCTGTTAGGTGGAGAAGCAAGGATTCCATCTTGCTGCACCTCCATGTGCAGCAGTAACAGCAGCAGGTAAGGGCCGTATGGCTCCACCCCCAGTTTTGCTTAGCTCCGCCCCCACTGTCCTTCCGTGCGGCCAGTTCAGCTGCTCTTTGCGTGTGTGAGCTGTTCTGGCCACACGGCACCCTGGGGCACTGTGCGGCCATACAGCTCACACAGCCTCCTCCAGCTCCCAAACCAGGGTCATGGCACCCCCTACCTAGTGGCACCCGGGGCGGACCGCCACCTCCGCCCCCCCCTTAGTACGCCACTGGGTACCTTATGCAATAAACTAAACTTGCATTGGTTCACTTGTTAAATTAAAAACTGAATATTAGAATTTTTGATGCATCGTGCTGGTTATTTTAGTAATTATATTTGTAATCATCTTGTAGATTATGAGTTTAGTGAATAAACCCATGTGTTTTAACACATTTTAACAATTGTTTTAAATGTAAGCATCCTACTCAGCTACCTGTGAACTACACACTGTATAGAACTAATTCAGTGGAATGAATCACACCTTTTATATAATTAACCCCTTAAGGACACATGACATGTGTGACATGTCATGATTCCCTTTTATTCCAGAAGTTTGGTCCTTAAGGGGTTAAAGGGACACTATAGTCACCTGAACAACTTTAGCTTAATTAAGCAGTTTTGGTGTATAGAACATGCCCCTGCAGCCTCACTGCTCAATCCTCTGCCATTTAGGAGTTAAATCCCTTTGTTTATGAACCCTAGTCACACCTCCCTGCATGTGACTTGCACAGCCTTCCATAAACACTTCCTGTAAAGAGAGCCCTATTTAGGCTTTCTTTATTGCAAGTTCTGTTTAATTAAGATTTTCTTATCCCCTGCTATGTTAATAGCTTGCTAGACCCTGCAAGAGCCTCCTGTATGTGATTAAAGTTCAATTTAGAGATTGAGATACAATTATTTAAGGTAAATTACATCTGTTTGAAAGTGAAACCAGTTTTTTTTTCATGCAGGCTCTGTCATAGCCAGGGGAGGTGTGGCTAGGGCTGCATAAACAGAAACAAAGTGATTTAACTCCTAAATGACAGTGAATTGAGCAGTGAAATTGCAGGGGAATGATCTATACACTAAAACTGCTTTATTTAGCTAAAGTAATTTAGGTGACTATAGTGTTCCTTTAAACATGTATTTGACCCAGATACATTAAATATGCTATTCGCAATTTATAGGAAATTTGTACATTATGTCAAGGTCTTAGATTACTGTAAAAACATCATTTGGAATGTAGGAATAATGAAAGTTTCAGAATATATTTTGTTGCATAGTTACATAGGCTGAAAAGAGACACGCATCCATCAAGTTCAGCCTTTCATCCATTTGTCTGCTTCGGCAATTCGGACCAATGGCATTCGGTTTGGCACTTTCCAAATTCGGGACTTTGATAATTCGAACCCCTAACTCCTAAACCCTAACCCCTATCCCTAACACTAAACCCTAACCCACTTCGGAACTTCGGCAATTCGGAACTTTGGCAATTCAGAACTTTGGCAATTTGGTTCGGTTTGGCACTTCAGAAATTCGGCACTTCTGCAATTCAGAAATTCTGCAAGTCGAACTTCGGACATTCTTAAGCATCCTAATGTCCGAATTGCACGACGTTCATCCAAATGTACATTAGGAACGAAACGAATTGCACAAGACTAGTTTCTGCAAGTATTAATCCAGTTGCAGTTTAAACTCCCCTCTGATGCACCATTTTTCTAAGCTAAGCATATTTAAATTTGTTAACATTCCTTCGTAACTAAAATCCAATTGCACAGCACCAGTGATTTATGAAGAGGGAACATTATATTTTATAAAGAGGGAACATTATATTTTCATCACGAGAATTAATGCCCCTTTTTATACATGACAAAACCTTACTGGTCTTAGCAGCTGCTGTTTGGCATTGCACCTTGTTGCCTATTTTGTTGTCTATAACAATTCCCAAATCCTTCTAATGTGTTGTTATCCCTAATTCACTAGCGTTAAGGATGTAAGTTGCTTGCACATTCTTTACCCCGAAGTGAATAACTTTGCATTGATCCACATTAAAGTTCATCTGCCATCTGACGTGTTCAACACCTTATAGAGATACTCTATGCACCCTATTCTAAGCTGAATAAAGTAGTTTTGGAGTATAGATCATGCCCCTGCAGTTTCACTGCTCAGCACTCTGGTCAACCTAACTTGACTGCTGCTGCGATTGCTCTGTTTAAACCTGACGAAGGAGGCAAGTTAGGTTGATCATTAGTTGGTCATATAATGGTAGGGTCTACCCAACATGGCTTTTCCACCAGATAACAAAAAAAGTGACGTTATCTCAAAAAGATTAGTTTACATAATTTAAAAATAGAAAATCATTAAGTTTCATTAAAAATGAGAAGTGAAAATTGATAACAGTTATTCATTTCAAACTGCTTGTGTGTTAACCTTTAGGTACCCATACTTAGTCACGATTATACCTCAACTCTTTGAGCTAATTGTGAAACCCAGATATGAAAGAAGATTTGCATCTGAGAACAAGCTGATCACACACATGCAAGTGTGTGTGTGTCTGTGTGTGTGTGTGTGTGTGTGTTTGTAGAAACACTATTCCAAGTAAATAAATATCAGCCCAATCAATACCATTGAATGGAGATAGAATCCTAATGATGAATTATCTCGCATTTTGCACTGTGTTCATGGCCAGGGCCGGCGCTACCATAAGGCGGCACAAGCGGCCGCCTTAGGGAGCTCCGGTCCTAGGGGTGCAAATGAGTCCGGGTGACCGGCAGAAGGTGGGAGCACAAAGAGCCCTCTCCTGATGGTCACTTAATGTTGCCATACCAAATTTACTTGCTGCTGTACGTTGATGCCGGTGCTGGATGTGGGAGGGGAAAAAAAATACTGTGCAGCCTCAGAGGGGATGGTAGCCGAGAGGAGCAGCTGCGGCCAAACACTTTAAAGGCCGCTGTGATACATAACGTCCTGTCCCGGCGGCCGAGCACTCTGGAGAAAGAATGACAGCTTCCATAGCGCACCAACACCTGGTGGGACACCTGTTTAAAAATGGTAAGAAACAATAAGTTTGTGTGTAAGAGCCAGTGTGTATGTGTGTGTAAGAGCCTGTGTGTGTGTGTGTGTGTGTAAGAGCCTGTGTGTGTGTGTATGTGTGTGTAAGAGCCTGTGTGTGTTTGTGTGTGTATGTGTGTGTGTGTAAGAGCTTGTGTGTGTTTGTGTGTGTGTAAGAGCCTGTGTGTGTGTAAAAGTCTGTGTGTGTGTGTGTGTGTGTGTGTAAGAGTCTGTGTGTGTGTGTGTGTGTAAGAGTCCGTGTGTGTGTGTAAGAACCTGTGTGTGTATCTGTGTGTGTGTAAGCACCTCTGTGTGTGTGTAAGAGCCTGTGTGTGTGTGTGTGTGTGTAAGAGCCTGGCCTGTGTGTGTAAGAGCCTGTGTGTATGTGTAAGAGCCTGTGTGTGTGTGTGTGTGTGTGTGTGTAAGAGCGTGTGTGTAAGAGTCTGTCTGTGTAAGAGCCTGTGTGTGTGTGTGTAAGAGCGTGTGTGTAAGAGTCTGTCTGTGTAAGAGCCTGTGTGTGTGTGTGTGTGTATAAGAGCATGTGTGTGTGTCTGTGGGTAAGATAGGCAAAAGGAGGGTGGATAGACACACAGGTGTAGACAAATTTTGAGGGCAGAAAAATGCATCTTCGTCTGTGTAGACAAAATTGCTTGCATCTGCCCTGTTCATGGCTGTCAGCATTTATTAAACAAGGTGAAATCATGTAATATTTGTGCTAATAAAGAAAACAGACATTAACCTAGGCTGCTGAAGTATCATTCACAACAGAAAGTATGGATTCACATTACTTAACTGTGTTTAATTACCCAAAACAAATATCAAGGTTGATTACCGTCACTAGTGAATAATCACATTTTCTTCAAGTCTGCTGGGAAGAAATGTCCATTTGGCTTTTTTTTTTTACACATTTTAAAGTTGTCCTGCAAAGTGGGACTGTGCAGTTCTGTCTAATTGTGTCTTACGTTGCCACTAGCCTTTTGTTCTTTTAAAAACAGAATATACAATTTTAGTTCAGTATGTTATTTTATATAAATATAACAAAAATCTTAAGTAGTATTTGCATCACTATTAGTTTTTGCTACATATTAAACATAAAAAATGTGTATATATATATATATATATATATATATATATATATATACACATATATAATATTATATTTTGGTTTTCTAATTTGTAAAACCCCCACACAATATTTTGTAGAGTCATATTTTGGTCTTAATATGTAATATGGCCCAATTCTAGCATTCAAGAGGCACTTTTTTTTTTAGAAGAACATCCTCTTCAGGCCCTGGGGAGATAGCGCAGCTAAGCAGACAAGGGCACATGTAGGAGTGTGGGGATAGATGCGTGGGAGTGTCTTGGGAAGTGTGTGTGGGTGGGGTTAGATTCAATGTGAGTTAGTGTGAGGGAGGTCTTACCTCAGTGCCACTTGGGATTCAGGCTAGCAAACAGCATCCTGTCCTCCTGCTCCTGTTTTCCTGGGCCTGCAGATTTACACAGCTTGAGGTGATGGATATTGAGGCGATCCTGGCATCCCTCAGGGCTGCTGCTGCGCTGGATGGTGGCCAGCAACTGAGGGAGCAATTTACAAACATTAGTGGAGGTATGGCTACTGGTGTGGGCCCCCCGCAGCCTACCTTCCCCTGGAGCACCCCCTGCGGTCTCCCCTGCTGCCTCCCCTGCGGCCCCTGCCCCTGGGGGCCATACCAGCACTGGCAGGCGTTCCCGCCCACCTGCCAGGCTGTCTCCTGATAACACTCCTCGGACCCAGTTGAGGAGCAGGAGCCCGGGCCCGAGGGACCGCCTGGACCGCCCCAGACACGCGGCCTACTACCAATGGCCGTGATTTGTGGCCTACTGTGGCCACGCACGTGGCACGGCCTTCTGCCACGAGGCCTGCCACTGCCGCACGGCCTGCCGCCTCCATTGCCGCATGACCTGGTACTCCCAGGCCGGGGATGAGGCCTACTACCGCCGCGCGGCCTCCTAGTGCGGCTTCCGAGCAGCCTACATATGTTCCCCCTTCCACACCATCCGCCCCAGCCGCCAGTGCTGGATTGCAGGCCGGGGCGGTGGTTAAAGCTATCTGGACAGCGGGTGGCTGCCCGCAGTGGTCCAGTTCCCCCCACAGCCGGTAAGTAGGCCCTTGCAGGTCGTGCGGGGTACCTTGGTACCGCTGTTGGGAGTTAGTGGGGTCAATTCAATTGATGGTCATCTCCGGTCAGCTTGGTCCCCTACCCTACTCCCTCCTAATGTTCAGTCTTCTTCCCCTCCTGGTCCCCTGCCTGGGACGGGTGGCAGTACAGTGCCTCTGGGTTCCCCGGTGCCCGCGGTGGCCAGTGTTGGTTCCGCCTTGGGCGATGCTTGTCTCGAAGTGGGGGTCTCGGACGTAGCGCGGGATGCTGCTTACATGTGCTGGTCTGGCCCTCTGGGCTTGCACTTGAAGCAGGAGACGAAGAAGAAAATTTGGAAAAGGGAATTTGTGGAGATATTTTCTCCCCTACTGCTGTAGGAAGCTCCTCCCGTTGCGGACAAGGACAGTAAGGAGTCGTAAAAGGATAGGGAGAAGTACAGTTTTCGCAAAATTCCCAAGACCTTTGGGAACTGGATTCGGGCGTTCTCTATTTTGGCCAGAGTGGTTGGGGAAAAGTATCCCCAAAAGTGCTCTGCGCTGTTCTGTTATTAGGACACGATCTGGAACACTTGTCGCACCTATGGGGGGCTGTGTTGGTGGAGGTACGACAGCGGCTGGCAGTGCGTCCCTCGCTGTCGTGGGATCAGATGGATATCGCCCACTGGCTTTCCATCATGACTCGTCCAGCTCCTCAACAGGGCTTTCGTCCTTTCTTGGGGGGGCCAGTGGGGGCACATCATCCTCCTCATCGGCCTCCGGTCTGAGGTCTGGCTGTTGTTGGAAATTTAACCACAGTCACTGTAAGTGGGGGTCCTCATGCCGGTTTAAGCAAGAGTGCTCCGGCTGCGGTGGGGGCCATCCTGCCTTCCGCTGTTTCAAGCGGGGAAAAATGGGTAAGAAAGGCTAAGGGCGACGACTCGTCCTCGTAAACGTGATGCGCCTGTGGCTCGACCTCTATAGGAATCGGGCTGCGGCGCAGATCCTGGTGGAAGGGTTTGAGCATGGGTTTTGGATCCCTTTCTCTGAGTGCCCTCCACTGCTCTCCATACGAAGCCTCAAATCCGTGCAGGCTTTCCCTCAGGTAGTACGGGAAAAATTGGATAAAGAGGTCTCCTTGGGTCGGATGGCCGGCCCGTTCTCCGCCCCACCAATGGCTAATTTGCGGGTTTCTCCTTTGGGTGTGGTGCCTAAGAAGGATCCTGGGAAGTATCGTTTCATTCACCATTTGTTGTACTCTCGAGGGGGTTCGGTGAATGATGACATTTCCGCTGAACTTTGCAGGATTTCCTATGCATCCTTTGATGCGGCGGTTTGCATGGTTAGGGCGTCGGGCACGGGGGCGTTGCTGGCTAAAGTGGATGTGGAATCTGCCTTCCGGCTTCTCCCGCTGCATCCGGAGTGCCATCATCTTTTGGGGTGTGCCTTTGAGGGTCAGTTTTTTGTGGACATGTGCCTCCCTATGGGTTGCTCGCTGTCCTGTTTTTATTTTGAGTGCTTTAGCACTTTTCTGGAATGGATGGTGCAGAGGGATGCAGGGGTCGCTTCCCTCCTGCACTACCTAGATGATTTCCTGTGTGTAGGTCCAGCGGAGTCGCATGTCTGCGCCCTCCTGCTGCGGGTTCTCGGGGAGGTGTTTCAGCGCTTCAGGGTTCCGTTGGCTCATGACAAGACAGTGGGTCCGGTCACGTGCCTGAGCTTTCTGGGCATCGACATTGATTCGATGGCAGGGGAATGTCGGCTGCCACAAGATGAGGTCTTGGACCTGCGCCTAGAGGTGTCCCAGGCCTTGGGGCAGCGTAAGATCCAGCTGTGCTGCCTGCAGTCTCTGCTGGGGAAGTTCTATTTTGCCTGTCCGATCTTGTCAATGGGGCGTATCTTTAATAGGCGCTTGGCGGCGGCAACGTCGGGGGTCGTTCACCCGCTGCATTTTATCCGGCTTACCTGGCCCTTGCGGGCTGACTTGGCTGTCTGGGATTCCTTTTTGGCCTCCTATAATGGCAGGTCGTACTGGCAGGCCCCGGAGGTCTCTAATGCGGACCTCCATTTGTTTACTGATGCGGTGGGCTCGGCCGGCTTTGGGGCCATTCTGGGCGCCAAATGGTGCACTGACTCGTGGTCAGAGGCCTGGCATGCAACGGGGCTCACTCAGAATTTGGCGTTTCTGGAGCTCTTCCCTATCTTGGTAGCTCTGGAGGTATGGGGTTCCCTGCTGGTAGATAGACGGGTGGTCTTCCATTGTGCCAACTTGGGAGTAGTGCAGGCTATCAACCAGCTGTCTGCTTCTCCCCCCCCCCCCCCCACCATGGTTCGCTTGCTGTAGCGCCTAGTTCTGCACTGTCTGGAGCTGAATGTGTATTGTAGGGCTGTGCACATCCCGGGTGTTCGTAATGTGATGGCTGATGCTCTCTCTCATTCACAGAGGGACGTGTTTCAGGCAGTGGCTCCGCAAGCTGAATTGGAGGGTGTCCTGTGTCCGACAGAGATGTGGTCCTTGGGTCTGACAGACTAATGGAGTTGGTCAGTGGGTCGGTCGCTGCGGCCACATGGGACCGCTATAATATGGTTTGGAGAGAATGGGATGGGTTGGAGAGGTCCTTCCGGGACTCGTCCACTCGCCTGCAGGGTTTGGCTCTTCTCTTGGGGGATTGGGAGGCTGCGGGGTTTTCTCCCTCGGCCATTTCGGCTCGCTTGACGGGGCTCAGCTTCCTGTTTAAGTTGCGGGGTTGGGACGATGCTACCAAGGCGTTCATTGTACGCCAGGCGCTAAAGGGTTTGAGGCGGGGGAGGGTGTCTACGTGAGACTCGAGGCGTCCTACTTTGTGTGAGGCGTTGCACGGGGGTTTGCCATTCGGATTACGAGGTTCGGCTCTTTCGTCTGGCCTTTTCCTTGGCATTCTTTGGTGCCATGCGGAATGGGGAGCTGGTGTGCCCCAGCCGGCAGCAAGTTGGGGGGACGTTTCGTGCACCGCTGATCGGTTCAGGATCCACTGCTCTAAGACGAATGTCTTAGGGAGGGTAAGTGGGTCCGGTTGGGGGCCGTGCCGGGTTCCGGCATTTGTCCTGTTTAGTCCTTTGAGGAATATTGCGCTTTGCTGCCACTCCTGGTGCATGGGGATGGTAGTTTCCTTTCCCATTTCCAGTTTATTAGAGTGTTTCGTTTGGGGCTGGAAGCCGTGGGAATGGATAGCAGGGAGTTCGGGAGACATTCATTCCTTATTGGGGCGGCTACCGAGGCCTCTAGGCTTGGCATGCCAGCGCAGGTGGTTCAGAGGATTGGTAGGTGGGACTCGAGACGTTATGTTTCCTATGTTCGTCCGGCCGGTTTATTGACGTGACTTCTTTCCGCGGTTTCGGTTCCCCCCAGGATCTGGATCATCGGGCGCTCTTATGTTTACTGGGCTGGGCAGCGTGCGGCGGTTCGGCCTGGAGGCGAGAGGTTGGGTTTCATGCCTTCCGAAGCAGAGGTTCGATGGCTCGGTGCGAGGGGTATGAGGTGGTCCCGGCTCCTCCCCGAGTTGGTGCAGTTGTCCCATCTCCTGGTGGCGCCAAGTGTCCTGGTGATCCACCTGGGGGGGAATGATCTAGGTTCAGTGCTCATTTGGGATTTGATTTCGGCAGTAAAGCGGTACTTAGCCCGCATTTTGGTTTTGTTTCCCAGCGTGCGCTTGGTGTGGTCTGAAGTCATTGCCCGTAACTATTGGCGTGGCGCCAGGAGCCAGAGTGCCATGGAGCGTTGCCGACTCAAATTAAACAGGCGGGTTTCCCAGTTTGTTTTGGGGGTTCGGGGGATCCTGGTCCGCCATAGGGATTTTGAGCGGGAGGCGGCTCATTTTTTTCAGGGGGTTGGGGTACACCTAACGGAGGTCGGGCTCAACCTTTTTAATCTCGCCGTACAAGAGCCGGTGGAACAGGCCATGGGTGGTTTTGGTGGGGTTCCCCGCTGATTTAGGGGTAAAGCAGCGGGTCTGGTGGCGGGTGTATGTCCTTGCCAATTAAGTTTGAGGGGTTATGTTTAAGGATGGAGTAAGTTCATTATGTTTGCAAGTCTCAACCTCCCCTGCTTCAAAGGGTTAACATTAGGTTGCCTGAGGTGTCGTGCCCATCGAGTGTGGATAAGGTCGGCTGATGGCGGGCATTGGAAGGATATGATTTTATGACGAGGGGGGAGGTGAGAGGAAGTGGTGATTAAGAACCACTGTATGTTTATTGGCAAGGATGGTTGGGTATAACACTATGTGTTGAGTTATATATGTATATATGTTAATTTATGATTATTTATTTCTAACAATTTGGTTACAGAAAAGAAGAGTTTAATAAATAAAGTTATGAATGTGTCATGCAGTAATTTATTTATGTTATAATAAATGCTGTGGCCTGTTCATCCATACTAAGTTGTCTGTCGTTATTGGGGGGGTTGATTGGGGTTAGTTATGTTTATGTTGCATCGTAATTCCCCACTACGTACATACATGCTGAATAAAATAATCTTTAGTTCTTTTTTCAACCACTATTTATACAGGTAAGATTGTAAAGCACAAAAAAGCACCGAAATCTACATAAAACACGAGAATGCATCAAAATCTCGCTATATAGGTTAAATGACTTTTCTAGATGTCGTTAAGAACACAGACTGAATAGATTTTCTAATTCTGTAATAAAGTGGGAAAGTGTAATTGTGAAATAAATAGCAGCTCTATATTTATACTTATAATTTGCATTGGTGACTACTTATTTTTAGTTAACGAATTCCTGCTATAACTTAGAATCAATCTTCTAACAATGTGAGGCATGCACCTGGGTTTCCATATTATAAATAAACCTTCCTTGCATACTGTTCAGCTTATAAAACAATAGTGAGTTTGCACTATTTTCATGCTCACTTTTGCTACAAAACAGCTTTCATATATATATATGTAAGGTCTAATCTGTCTTCTTACACACATATATATATATATATATATATATATATATATATACACATGTGATAGAAATTGTTTAGTGATTAATTACACAAAAATCAATAGTGTAATAAATTGTGATTTATTACACATTATATTTAAAGACATGATTGTTTAAATTTGATGAGTTTTCAGTTCTTCTTATGCACGTACATTTTAGAGCTAAGTGATTCATAGCTGCTTGTCATTATATATAGTATTACACAAAAGTCCCATTACTTCCTGGAAATTTGGTAAGAAATGTATCATGGGAAAAATAAGCATATTTTTACTCTAACTTTGAAAATTTAGCTTTTTTAAAATGCTTTTATTAACACAATACATTGGGGTTTTTTTTGGTTTAGGTAATTGAAAAGTGACTCTTTTTTTTTTCTTCTTTGCACATGTTTTCAATATCTGGGTGTCCCCATTTTGTTTTTCTCTGTGCATGATGTCTACACTTTCCCCTTATGTGGGATTCATTTGACTGATGGATTGTGGGTAGTGATGTCCCGAACGGTTCGCCGAACGGTTTGCGAACTGTTCACCATGAACCGGTTCGCCACGGACTCAACCAGCAGCAGACCCTCCCTCCCAGACCCTCCCACCTCCTGGACAGCTCACTAAGAATGCAGCTTCACAATGAATGTAAAATGGATGCTGTCCAGGAGGTGGGAGGGTCTGGGAGGGAGGGTCTGCTGCTGATTGGCTGGAATGTGTCTGCTGACTGTGAGGTACAGGGTTAAAGTTTACTCAATGATGAGTCCGTGGCGAACCATTCGTGGCGAACCGTTCGCGAACCGTTCGCGAACGGTTCCGGACATCACTAATTGTGGGTAAATTAGCTTAGTGACTGAAATGGAACCATGTTTAAGCTTCACTTCCTGTCAAAGCTCACCATCAGGTTAACAAAAAGTAGCCTCTATCTTTTCTTAGGTATAACTAATAAACTAAGATGACATAACAAAATATTAAAAAATAAAAGTAAGGTGAAACAAAAGGACAAAATAAAAAAGGATTAATAAAAAAACCAAAAACTGTAAATTGTGGGAGTTGCCTTGAAAAGTGAGAATGCAAAGTGAATTCAATGTAAATTTCAAATTTAAGTTCACTATTAGGATCTTAAATTTAAAATTCAATTTGAATTCACCTTGAATTCTCTCTTTAGTGAATAACTCTGAAAGTGAAAGTGAAGTGAATTTCAAATTCAAAGTCATAGTAGCGGAATTGTAATGATTTTCAAAGTTTCTATGTTTCCAATTTGTCTACTTTTGCCTTAAAATATTCACTTTAGTAAATAAACCTGTATGTCTCCTATGAATTGGTAAATGTTATTTTCAGATGTACTTCAATAAATATATTATTGTAATATTTTTAAAAATTTAGAAATACGTGGGATTTTTTCCCCCCATAGCCACAGAAAAAGTAAATCTATTCTTGTCAGAACATGTGGGGCATTGCTGAAAGTCAAATAACCCGGTAATTTATAAAAAAACGGTATTCTCACAGCCTCCTGTTATATTACAGGATGCCAGTTAGCTTATAGGGTGGTGGTGAATAGCGATCCAAGTGCAATTTATTCACAGTATTTGTCATCATTTTAGGTTTTGTCCACTTTGAGTGTCAGTATATCTAAACATATATCCCTTTGTCTTTTAGAATACCCATGGTCATGAACATTTTGTAAGCTGATCTGGGTAACAGCACTAAATAGGAACTGATAAATAAACAAGTGTAGCGTTACTTACCTTATCCAGGGGCTGGCCGCAGGCCTCTCTTCGAGCCACGCGCAGTCCTGCTGCTGCACGAGCCACGCGCAGCTCATCCGACGGCTTCAATAGGAAGGCGGGCAGTGACCGCGAGAAGCGGTCACGTGTCCCGCCTGAATCTAAGAGCGCGCCGCGAGTCGCGGGTGCGCTCTTAAAGAGACAGTGGGAGCCTAAATTGTTAAAAGGCTCCCATTGGCCCCTGTCATGCCACACTCCCCATACACTTACCTTTTGGGGGTGTGGATATGACAGGAGCCAATCACATTAGTTTAGAAGCTATTTAAACTTACCTCTCCCTTTACTCCCTGCCCTATCATGGTTTCTGTTTCAGTTCCCTTTAGCGCTTGTTGTGTTCAGTTGTGTGTTCTTCGTATTGACTTTGGCTTTGTTTCTGACTACGTTTTCTCTTTATCCTTATCTGTTCTGGTTGTCGGCTTGCTGTTTTCTGTGTACCAGACCCCGGCTAGTCCTAGTTTACGCTGTCTCTCTGTGCCCTTGACTTCGGATCGTTCCTGACTCTGCCTCCTCTTATATACGTCGAGTCCGGCCATTCTAAGGTCCGGTAGACGTATCTCTCCTCTGTGTTGTCTTCCGTTTAGCTGAATCCTGCGTGTTGGGGTATATTCTCGTTACAACAAGTAAATAAAGATACAATAAATTGACTTTTCATAGGAATGTCTTGTAGTTTTTACCATTTTTTGCCAATCATTTTATTTTTTTTGAGGCTGTCATGCGAAAGCATGAGTTGGCATTTGATATATGTTATGAGTTGTTTTTGTAAACATTGAGATAACATTTATTGTAGGCTTTGAGTTGTTTTTGTACATGTTGGGATAACATTTATTGTAGGATTTGAACTTTCACCAAACCTAATCCATAAACTACTAGATAATCATCACCAGAGCTGGACATAGGGCGTCTTAAAAGGTATTGGTATGCTCTGACTTTAGGTTCTTCAAAGGGAAAAAAATGTGATGGAACTCCGTCAATGAGTACCATACCCACATGTGCCCACTCGCTTTCCTGCTTATTGTTTTCAGGTCAGGGCTATTTAACATTGTATTGTTTGTGGGGTCCCCTTGTTCACAAATCATGTTTAGGCTTGGTTGGAAGATTGTGCTTGTCCCATTCTAGGTATGATAAAACTGAGGCTTGCGTATTAATCTGTGAATAGATATTGGTGTCTCTTTTGGATGTGATATTGGAACACAGGGTTTTTTTTGTTCTTGAGAGCTGGTGATCATTGGCATATCAAAGGACTCCTTATCTAATAGGCCATCAAGACATATGGCAGATGTGAGAGTTGGTTTGTACAGAAACCAGACTTCCAGCCACTCATGTGTGACTTCTCACACCTTGCAGAGTGGCTCTGTTGGGGTCCCAGCATCAAAGAGGAGCCTGTAAGCTCTGACCTTCCATACAATCAATTAACCCCTTTTGAAATTGAAAATGTACTTTTGAGGTGATTTACAATTTTATGCTTTTCTGTACCTGGGAGATGATTGAGATTGTACAGTTCCTGACTCAATTATCTACCAGGCACAGGGGAGGGGTTTGTGTGTAATTGTATGGAAACCACTGCTGGGGACCTGTTTATAACTTGGTTGTACCATGTCCCATTAAAATATATTCCAGTTGTATTCCCAGAGCTATGTTTCGTCTAGTTACTGGGAGGGGAAAGGGCAAATCCCTGCTCCAGCTTGTTCCAGTGTGGAGGATTCAGTGGGGAAAGTCCTTGTAAGGACTAAAGCTCCCAGGACCGTGTGTTGTTCAGTCCCTGGGAGTGGATAGAGCTAGTCACCTAGCCTGCTCCAGGATGGAGAGGCTCCAGCACCCCAGTCAAGCCACAGTGACTTGGGCAGAAGTGCTGAGGCGCACAGGTTTTTATCCTGCTCAGCTAGGAAGTGGTTCTTGGTGGAGGTACCCAGTCGGGGAACAGGGAGCTCCGTTAGAGTGGTGGCAGCAGTGAGATGGTTTCTGAGCGGCTAAAGGATTTTCTGCGCTGTAGTGATGACCCTATCTCATACAGGAGAAAACCAGAATGGAGGGCGGCAATCTTTATCAATCCCTGTTAGGAGGACCTCGATGAAATTCGCCCCTTCTGGAGCGAGGAACTCCCGACCACCAACCAGTGCCGATGGAATCAACTAGAGCTGCGGATGCCGTTCCTGGGAGACCAGCCATTAGAGGAATGGGTAATAGAACTAGAAACGCTTGTCATGACCGAAGTGTGGTTGGATGAATCGTACCGGGCCTTGCAGTGACATGCGTGCCATATCTACCCGAGGATGGTCAATTCCCAATGCATCGAGGGAGAGGACTATGATGGCCCTGGTCTTTTGTGGGAAGTTTTTGAAGATGGTATGGTGTTAGGATACCCAGACAGTTCACATTTCTGGTGCATCTGAGATAAGCGGGAAGACAGCTTGGACCTTACGGGGATAGAGGAAATGCAGCCGCATCTGACTTTTCTTGCTAACCTGGAGTGGGAGCTTGAACAGAACTACGCATGCCTGTTTCCCCGAATAATGTTGCCAAGTGAGGGAGCGCATAAACTTGGAGGTCCAGGGAGAAGAGACAGTCGGTCTCTCTCCTGGCGGCCGAGTGCGTTATTGGGAGTGGAGACAACCATCGTTCTTCAAACATTCAACTGTAACCCCAATTCTAAAGAAGCCCAGCCTTGACCCCAACTCCCTGTCCAACTACCGTCCTGTCTCGCTACTGCCTTTTGCATCCAAGGTCCTTGAAAGAGTTGTGTATGCGAGATTAACAGACTTCCTCGAGTCCCACTCTCTGCTAGACCCGCTTCAGTCTGGAATCCGCGCTCGTCACTCTGTTGAAACAGCTGTGACCAAAGTATCCAATGATCTACTCACTGCAAAATCTCATGGTCACTACTCTATTCTAATTCTCTTTGACCTTTTGTGAGACTTTGGACACTGTTGAGCATCAACAGCATCTTCACAGACATATCGGTCTACAAGATATTGCTCTCTCCTGGTGCTACTCCTGCCTCTCCCAGCGCTCTTTCAGTGTTTCTTTCTCTGGCTCTGCTTCTTCTCCCCAACTCCTCTCTGTTGGTGCCCCCCAAGGTTCAGCTTTTGGTCCCCTACTGTTCTCTATCTATACTGTCTCCCTCGATAACCTCATTAGCTCCTTTGGCTTCCAATATCATTTCTATGCGGATGACATGCAAATCTATCTGTCCTCTCCTGATCTCTCCCTGTCCCTCTTGACTAGTGTCTCTGACTGTCTCTCTGCTATTTCTAATTGGATGGCTGCCCACTTCCTTAAACTCAACTTGACCAAAACTGAAATTCTGGTCTTTCTTCCTCAAGTGTTGCTACTCCTGTGTCTGTCTCCCTCCAAATCAATGGTGCTACCATCAGTTCCGCCACGCAGGCTCGCTGCCTAGGTGTTCTCGTTGACTCCGACCTCTCCTTCACGCCTCATGTTCAGTCTATCGCAAATCCTGCCGCTTCCATCTCAAAAACATTGCGTACATCCGACCTGACTTTACACCACATGCGACTAAGGTGCTGGTCCATTACACTGTCCTTTCTTGCCTTGACTACTGTACAGAAAGCTAAAGGCCAAGAATCCCTACAATATACAGAGAGCAATGCAAAGCTCTCAGCTGAACAGAAGAGGGAGCTACATCAAGTACTAGGCCCCTTTAGTGACACATTTACAGGGCAGCCAGGACGAACCATACTAGCCACCCACCATGTAGATACTGGGGACCAACCACCGCTAGTCCCTAAGGCCAAGAAACCGGTCATGTCATTTTTGGGGACAGCAGGGTATTATCGCAGATTTGTCGCAGATTACAGTGAGACTGCCAAACCCCTCACAGATTTAACTAAAAAGAAAGTATCCAAGCAGATTATGTGGACTAAGGACTGTAAGAAAGCCTTCACTGCCCTAAAGACAGCCTTGTCTAACTTTC